TCATCCCCTAAAATACTAACATAAATAAGTCTTCACATCAAACATAAGAAAAGGCTGAAAGTTTTTAATATAACTCTTCCGTTGTTGTTGTTTCAGCACATCATGTATATGAAAGTCATTAATACTCACCTCCCAGAGTTTTTTCTCATTTAGAGTAAAGCATGTTAAAATAACTTACCAAAAACTGTCAAGCTGGCATTGTGATCTAGTCTCAACAAAACAGTCAAGAGATCCATAAATTTATTTTGCCTTTCCTTTCACCATCTATCATGAAATTCCTCATTATTCACTTGAGTTTAAATGAATTTTCCAGATCCCAGAAAACACAAGTTTTCTCACCAGATTATTTTTGCAAAAGCCAAACTAATTTGATATATTGGGAGCTCACAGATTATTATTGCTAAAGAATAAAATCAGGAACAAGTTTTCAAACAAAACTTGCATTTGATAAATCAATTATGGCTCTCTCAGAAAGTGACTGTGATCTTTACTAACAACTTCAACTTTTCTAGAAGTCACCCAGTTTGTGACAGATTTCCCTAGTCTTCCAGAGAATGACTGGGTATATCTGGAAATAAGTCTCCCTTACACAGCTGAGGGCAAACTCATATTGAGTTTCTTCTCTATTTACCTACTAACATAACACCCCATCTTTTCAAAGACACCTTGAAAGAAAAGGGTTCCAAAGCTGAAATAGGATAGCTTAGATGGCTCCTTTTAATTTTGTGGCAAAAAAGGGGGCACAAACCAGAAAGGTATTTTAAAAGATGAAAGTCGAGTTGCTCCTGGCCTGAAATGGCATTGATTTTCTTATTACACTTCAGAATAAAAGTAGACCTTTTATACTGAACTAAACATTGCTTTTCCAGTACATCTTATTCTGAGGAAACTTCATCAGTTCATTTCTTATTTTACATTGACACTTAAATATTTCATTTTTCTTTAACTTTTTCAAGCCACAGAATTTAGAAAAAAGGAAATGCCAAACACTTGAAACGAGAGCCATTTTGCTATCAGATTCAAGAAAAGCCCACAAAAAATATCTAAGTAACTTCAACTATTTAAGATGGTAAGGCAACTTAAATAAATACTGAGTGACGGCATTTGCAGCTGTTCGGAGGCATCATGTTTTTCACACTCATATGCTAAGCATATCAAACCAGGTGAAAGCAAAAAATTCAAGAAATGGCTCTGAAAATGATGTCTTACTAAACCAAAATAGCTTAATAGAAGTTGTATGTGTGTACACTTGTATGTAAACACAAACACGAAAGATAAACGGGTGTGATGAAGGTTAAATCAGGCAGTCCCTGAGTATGAAGGAGCCACTTAAGAACAACTTATACTTGCCCTTTAACGTTATGCAAATTTGCTCATTTTGAAATGATTCAAACAACCTCTGCACAAATGCTTCATCAGACTCACCTTCCCTTGATGCCTATGCAGCTTTTAACTCACAGAAAACTTTTCAAGTCTCTTCTGACATTAAAATTAGGCTAAGAATCATGTGAATCTGTTCCTACTAACCTACAAATTATAAAGACATGTTGCCGTTACTGATTTTAAAGTCCTTTGAGTCAGTTTTGACTCATAGTGACCTATATATGGTTTCCAAGATGCTGTTGATGAGTTTGAACTGCTGACATTGATGTTCAAACCACCTTGCTGTCCAGAGCATTGTCCTGCAGCACCACACCAGGACTCCAAAGACATGGTTAGGAAAAAATTTTGTTCACAACTCAGGACTGCCTGCATCCTACTATTTAAGAGTTTATGCTGTCTTTGAAAGGTTGAGTTTCTACTTATTATTTGTAACGTCTGCTTTCTTCCTTCAAATACCAAAACATTTTCCTGAAAAGGAAGGTGTTGTCGTTAAGTGCCATCGAGTTAGTTCCGACCCATAGCGACCCTGTTTAGGGTTTCTGAGGAGCACCTGGTGAGCTTGAACCACCGACCTTGAAGTTTAAATTGCTGTGCAGTTTGATGCAACAATGCACAACATCAAACCAGGACTCCAAAAGGAAGGCGAGGAAACCTCAAATAAGTACCATACTCAGTCCACAGCTGTCTTTGACCTGGCCCAATGAGTGAAACATGTATTTACAATATAAATGGGAAAAACACAAGGTAAAAAGTTAACCACACATATAGTTAAGTTTTTTTGAGGTCACAAGAGACAAATGCCACTCCATCAGTGAAAGTTTGCTTCCCAAAGAAAGAACTTAACTCAAAATCAAGTTCTATTACTTTGTATGCCTTCACATTTCTATAGAGTTGGTGGTAGGATTCCAAGTCTTTTGAATTCATTTTGGCCTGCGGTGAAATGAATTCCAGACTTCCAACCTAGTGTGTCAGAAAAACTCTGGCAGAAGAAGAAATTTTTAATTCTCCTCCCCATCTGCCAATTAAAACAAAATCAAAGATGGTGGTTATTATGGACAGAGATGAAACTCCAGCAAGCAGGAACTAAGACCAGAAGTGAAGAAAGCATCTTCTAAGATGAGGGAAGGGAAGTATGAGGGTAAGAGCTCAATGGTAAGGCACTGGGATAAGGAATGGATAAAAGCTTGGAGATGAAGAGAATGGTAGGCACTAATGCTAGGTTGTATTGAAAAGTCAGAGAGAAAAGAGAATTTATCCTTTGTCTTCAGTTACTATACTTTCTTATCTGCTTCTCTTCTTCTTCCCTGATGCAGCAACATGAAGAAGAAGAGACATTTGAAGACCCCCTGAAGAACAAGACAATGTTATTGAAAAGGTTTGGCATTATGCTTGACTTTTTAAAGTGTTGAAGAGCAAAGAAGTCAGCTTGAGGGCTAAGGTGCGCCTGACCCAAGCCATGGTATTTTCAATAACCTCATATGCATGTGAAAGCTGGACAGTGAATAAGGAAGACCATAGAAGAACTGATGTCGTTGAGTTATGGTGTTGGAAAAGAATATTGAAAGTGCCATGGACTGCTAAAAGAACAAATAGATCTGGGTTTATGTTCCTTCCTTTGTATCTGATGGGCTCTGTGACTGCTTTGATCAATAAAATATGGCAGAAGTGATGCTGTGTATGTTTTCATGCCTGGGTCTTAAAAGACTGACAGCTTTCATTTCCTCCTACTTGGAACACTGTCTCAGAATCCAGCTACCATTCTTGAAGATGAAGCTATGGAGAGGGAAATGGCCTATCTGAGCACCCTGCTAATAGCTATCCCAGCCATGTAATGAGAGCTTGTACACATCTTTCTCAGTGATGTCCTCAGTTGTCTTCAACCACAATTGTTAACGGGTGCAATCAAATGAGATAAGTAACAACTTCCTAGTTGAGATCCTTCTAACCATAGACTCTTGAGACATAATAAATCAGTGCTTTAAGCCACTATGTTTTGAAGTGGTATATTATGGAGCAATAGATAATGGGAACATGGGGCAAGTAGAATCTGAGATCAAGGTATTAACGGATCTGCAACAGTAGGAGAGAAATAAAGACAAGAATAGACAATGTCTTCAGTCACCATCTGGGGTATTGCTTGGATGAGTCATAGCAAATAGATGTTCTACATAGTAAACAACACATGGGAAAAATTAAATAATGATGAAAATTTTCTATATATAATAAAGTTGAGGAACTATACAACCTTTTGATATTTTCAGGACTCTATTCACTATGAAGCCTTTCTTAGACAGGAGAAGAGAGTCTCTGGCACATGGTGCTGGAATACTGAGAGTTCCTGAGCTCCAAGCAGTGCTAGTTAACTAGATCTCAGTGCCAGCAGCCCTTTCCAGTAGAAGGGGTGTGGTTTTTTTTTTTTTTTTTTTTTTTTCAAAACAGGAAGAAAACACATATTTTGGAAGTTGGTGGAAAATGTCACTGTAATTTATTTTATGGTATTGTGTCAGTCTAGGTTGACATACAAGGTGTCAAGAAGGTACTGTCATTTGGGAACCTTACATGGTTTACCCCACTCCAACCCATTCTGCTTTGAATCCAACTCACAGTCTGCTCCTCCTTTTCACCCTTTAGAAGATAACCTAAACCTTGTGAAATTATAGAAGTTCCAGACACTCTCAGAACTCCTGCTACACACACATTACCCCAGGGTTTGCATTACTGGATCATTTATTCACTAATTCAATGATTCATTCAGATACAAAGAAGACAAAGGGAAATTTGCAATAACACAAATAATTTTTCAATAGCTCTATTAGGATTTGATTGTGGCGAGTCCCGGTGTTGTGCTGTGGGTAAATGCACTGGACTGCAAAATCCATTTGACCCGTAAATTACTCGGCAGTTTAAGCTCACCAGCTACTCCATGGAAACTCTATACAAGGTCGCTATGAGTTGGAACCGACTCAACAGCATTTAACAACAACAATAACAACAATATACTTGTGGCATTGTAGGATCAGCACTGGACTGTGAACCACAAAGTCAACAGTTCAGACCTACCAGCTGCTCCTCGGAAACCCTATGCTGGGTTGCTAGGAGTCGGAATTGACATGATGGCACTTAACAACAACAACAATGCAAGTAAAAGAAACAGAACTGCTAAGAAGTTTTGGTGTGGCACTGTAGGATAAGCACTGGGCTGCTAACCACAAGGCCAGCAGTTCAAATCCACCAGCTACTCCTTGGAAACCCTCGTTTCTATGAGTCAGAATTGACTCCATGGCACTTAACAACAAGGTCAGCTTGAGCACATGATGATTAAGAGGAGAGCATTCTCATTTTTATTCTGAGAACTGTTTCTCAAGGTTATTTTTGTGACTGATTCCTATGGGAAAATGAATTAGCAAACATAAAAGTTCTATATTTCAAATTTTGGAAAATGCCTCTGGGTGTCTTTTTTATACCAAGATGTAATCAATAACTTATACTATCAGTGATTTAATCAACCTTTTTATATTAGAAAAAATATTAATAACTCTTTTATTAAAGAGACAATGGGAACAGAAAGGGAATACGAAGTTTCCAGTCTAACAAACCAGTTGCAAAGACTTTCTTACCATTATACCTGTATGAAGCATTATGTAATGTACAGTTTGAGTGACATCCGCTGCATGAATTAAATTGTGATATGGATTTTTGAACTTGCTGTAACCAACTTCTAAGGCTTCCGCATATGAAATTAGGCTAGGAAGCGGAATCTGTGGAAAATAATAGTTATGATTATATTTTGACCAAAAGAGTGGCACTAAATTAATGTAAACATGAGGCTTGGGATAGGACACATTAATGAATACAGATGTGACCAGTAGTTTCTTTAAGTTAAATATCAATTGTTTGAATAAACCACTTCATCAACATATTAGCTTCCCTATTGACCTGGAAGGACTGTAACCCCAAGGGTTTATTTAAGATACATGAAATGGTAAGCTTCATCATAGTGTCATCTTTAAATTTTCATGTCTACCAGAATCAAGTAATCAGTCTAGTTCTTACAGGATTAAAATTTTCAATTATAATAGGTAAAAGTCTAGTTTACTCTATCTGTAATACAAAGAAGTTAAAAATGGGTGACGCCCTCCAATATCTTCTAGCTCTAAAAATGCCATAATTCCATGAGTAATGATGATAGTTACAGGTTGCAGACTGCACAGAAGTCTGCATCAAATCTGTTGTTTGGTGCTTCTAGAAGACGTTACTTAAAAGCCCCTCTATTTTAATTTAAGCAAAGCTACTAATAAAGGTTCATTCTGTATTTTAGGAGCACCAAGGATCATATTTTTTAAATACACACTTTCCTTTTTCTACAAAAATGCTCTGTGAATGATTCCAGTGAAAGTGGATGATGAGGATGTAAAGGTCTCAGAGCTTGTAGGTGGATGATATATTTATGTATCAGTAAATTGTGGAGAATGGTTATATCACAGAATGAACTTTACCTCTTGGTTTTGTGCCTGTCCACTATAACATTCTCAATTAAATTGACTAAAAATTCAATATTTGCATTTTCATTCTTATTCAGATAACCAATTTTAGGAGCATTTCACTTTTGTTCAGCATTGCTGACCTTGAAACGGTTGATAAGATCATATCTGGTAAACAGTTCATACATCATAAACTTCAGACTATGTTCTCCGCTTGCGTCATTTAGGGCAAATACATCAAAAGACCATTGATCAACATCCTGTAAAAAAAAAAAAGTTAACAATATGATTTACTGCTGTTTTCTCCATAAAAATTTTTTGGCCAGGGCAGACTTTGTCCACATAGCAGATCAGGTTTCGATTCACCAGATCAAATTATATTTTCACTAGAGTCTGATATGACATGGCCAGTTTTTAAATGCAGTTTCACGAAGTAAGGCTATAATGTTGACCATGGGCCGAGACCTCTACCTCAATCCCTGGTTATGAAATTAATGTCATAAACCTGGTAACAATATAATACTGTCTCCCAATTCATGTCATAAGTAATTTTCCAGAGTGAATCTAATTTTTAAGGTAGAATTTCCAGTAATATGGGTGATTTTGAGAATTGAAGCTGGAGGGCAGAAACTCCCAATATCTCTCTTCCAGCTATCTACCTGTTGCTACAATGCTTGAAGTTCCACCTTAAGAGTTAGTCATTTATTAAAAGCATTAATATCTTATGTCCTTTTTAAAAAATGCAAATACCCTAGAGAGGTAGAGCATACATTACATTATTACTCACTCTAATTTTGGCTAACTCATGTGTCCTTTCCTCTAGGAACAACTGGTGAGAAAGAGGAAGTGGGTGTTTTGATTGAAGAGAGGATAAGAATTTTATGTTTCAGGCATTTCCCCAGGGAAGCAGGCAAGACTATTGGTAAATTTCCAGGTACCCTAGGAAATTATCCCTAACAGGTAGGGGAGAAGACAGAGGGAACAGCTATCAAAACATTGCGGCTACCTCATGCTATTGCTTAAAGTAATTCCAGAGAGTAATCTTGCAGAGAAGTACACAAAAATGGACTTGTAGCATAGTCCTATGTTGTTGCTGTCGTTATAGTGCCATCAAATCATCTCAGACTCATAGCAAGCCTGTATAGTGTTTCTGAGGAGGGACATTGTGGTTCAAACTGATTTTGTAGTCCAGTGCATTAACCTGCTGCACCACATCAGGACTCCAGCATAGTCCAGTACACAGTGTAAATTTTAATGCCAAGTTTTGAGTGACAGTTCAAGTGGAACCTTAAAAATCTAAATACACTAAGAATCAGGTCTGATAATGATTAGAAAGTGTTAACAAAGAAGGCTTAGTGTTTACACGTGCAGTTTAGAATTGAGCAGTAAGTGGGCATCTTAAAAGTTATGCATTAACTTTGAATTTGAGTAGTCATAGTTTAGAACTTCATCCTTGTAACACACTTTTATTGAAACCAACTCTATATCTTGCAATATGCTGAAATTAAAATGAACATCTGATAAAATATATTCAGTCTTTTTAAAAAAAATTTCTTTTGAAAAATAATCACAGTGTCACATTGTTACAGCAGCTTTAGGTAAGTGTACCTTTAGGTAAGCTCTAGTTAGTGTTACAGCAGCTTTTTAGATCCATTGCTGAAGAAACCGATCTAAACAGAGGCCACTGGGAGAGGTGAAGTAAAGTTTCAGGTTTATTAAGCCAGCTGGCTCAGAGGAGCTAACTTCTCCAGACTCTGAGCCCTGAGTGCAGATTGGTATAGGCTTACATGGGAACAGAATCAGGGAGGGGCTAGGTTGCAGACCTGTTTGAGAACAGGAGGGAAGTCAGAAGATTGGTCCGTCTAGGTAACCTAATTTGCATTCCAGCATGCCCCCTGGAAGGGTGGGGGTGAGTAGTTTAATGTTTCACATTTTTCCTGTTCAACGTGTCATTTTAATTACTTGGATACATTAAGTGAAATATATATTTTTTTGTTTTGCTTGTGTGACTTTGTTAGATTCCTGGCATTTGTTTAATTTTATCACTAAACACTTGCTTTATCTGTTTGGGAATTAAAAATCTATAAAAGTTCCATTAGAAGCCATTTTACTTTCTGTAAATCTCAAAGGAGGCCAAGAAATCTTTTATCAAATTCCAAAACTAACACAGAAGAGTTACTACATGCTGCTATTTACAGTTCCAGCTAGGGATTTCGTACTGGGTAAAAGGTTAGGTCTCCATTTCTTGGGAATTTTTACCAAAAAATGATGACTTACATTTGTAAACTACTGAAGATGCTTGACTTACATGTTGTCAGATTGAGAACACACAAAAGACAAAGAGGTATTCCAGGAAATAAGAATTATTATTTAGCCAAAATTATCATTTTCTTACTAACATTTTCCTCCTTCAACTTTTTGGTTCATGTGCTTTTATGATACTACTGTTTATGAAACAACAACAAATTAAATTTTTCATACTAATCTATTTAGTTAGTTGATGTTTATGCAAAGGTGGTAAAACAAATAAAATTAAAATAATATTCCTGCTCATAATTTAGAAAATAATAGGGCAGATGAAGACTCTCAAGAGCAAATGAGTAATTAGAAGTGTATAATGTGACACGTTTATTATATACTTGTCTTTATTATAGTTTTAGAAATATAAACAGAAAAAAATGAGCTGTATTTTAAAATTGATAAGAATACAATCTAATATGTTGCAAAGGATAAACAAATGTAAAGAGAATGTTCAAAATGGAACTACATACATACATAAACATAGAAGAAATTAATAAAGTTTAAACTAGAAATGTTGTTTCTGTTAAGTGCCATCAAGTCAGATCTGACTCATAGTGATGGCTGGTGGGTTTGATCAGCTGACCTTGAGGTTCAAACTGATCTTTCAGTTCAGTGTGCCACACCAGGATTAGACACGGAGTATAGCAGAAGAAAGATGAGGCTTTCTGCTCCCGTAAAGATTTACAGCCTTGGAAATTCTGTACAGTGTCACTATGAGTCAGAACCAAATCCACGGAACATAACCACCACCACCATAGTAAAATCAAGGAGTCCTGGTGTGGTGCTGTGGGTTAATGCATTGGATTGCAAAGTATGTTTGAATTGTAAGGTCAGTGGTTCAAGCTCACCAGCCACTTTTCAGAAACCCTATACAGGGTTGCTATGGGTAGGAACCAACTCAATGGCCCTTAACAACAAAAACAATAGTCAATCAAAAACAAATGCAACTCTGTTATGAGCATTGTTTAAATTCTTAGTTAATACAGAAAAGATATTATGGGGCCATCTGAGAAGATAAATGCCTCTGTAGAAATAATGTCTGGTAACAATACACACACAAAGGAGCTCTGGTAGCATAGTGGTTACGAATTGGGCTGCGAACCTTAAGGTCATCGGTTCGAAACTACCAGCGGTTCCGCGGGAGAAAGATGAGGCTTTCTACTCCCGTAAAGATTTACACCCTCGGAAACCCTGTACAGGGTCGCTATGGGTCGGAACCGACTCGATGGCACTTAACAACAACAATGCACACACAGAAACAAGAAGTGGCGCTAAATAAGTGATTAAGCAACTTTTATCATTTCAGATTTTGGAAAATATGTAAAAAAGAAGATCTTTTTACAAGATCTCTTGTAAAAGGGCAGCCTCGGGAGAAACCTGGGGCAAGAGAGATGAATTCTCTTCTGTTTCCTTTCTTAATTTTATCTTATTTTAATATTTTCTCAGGCCTAAAATTCCAGATAATTGTATTAATTATCAGCTTTGGATTTTTAAGATATTTGACAAAAACATTTAACATTTAACTTCATATGTATGTGGAGTCCTAGTGTGGCACTGTAGGATAAGCACTGGACTGCTAACCACAAAATCAGAAGTTCAAAACCACCAACCTCTCCTTGGAAACCCCATCCAGTGTCACTATGAGTTGAAACTGACTCAATGGCATGTAACAACTATCTATCTATCTATCTATCTATCTATCTATCTATCTATCTATCTATCTATCCATATGTAGAATGCTATGTGGTACTGTAGGATCAGCACTGGACTTTGAACCACAAGGTCAGCAGTTCAAACCCACCAGCTGCTCCTTGGAAACACTATATAAGGTCCCTATGAGTGGGAACCAAGTCAAAGGTACTTAACAACAACATCAAAAACAATATATAGCATATAAAAGAAAATATGTATATTCTGACAAGTACAAATGCCATCTCAAAGTTGAATTCAAGATTCATCCAAATTAAGTATGAATGAAAAATAGGTGGATGGACATGATGCACAAACAGATTAATAGTCATTATGAGTTATTATTTCAAGCACATGACATATTATATATGGTTAACATTTTTTTACATTAAAATATATAGACTATCGGAAATCCTGTTCAGGGTCGCTATGGGTCGGAACCGACTCTACGGCACTTAACAACAACAACAATGGTGGTGGTGGTGGTTGTGTGCCGTGGAGTCAGTTTGGACTCCTAGTGACCTGTATAGGGTTTCTGAAGCTGTAAATCTATACAGGAGCAGAAAGCCTCCTCTGTCTCCTTAAGAATGGCTGGTAGTTTTGAACTGCTGACCTTGATGTCAGCAGCCCAACTCCCGACTCATAACCACTACTCTCCTTATATGGAACTATTCTCATTTTCTCCCATACATTTTAAGAAGATTTAAAAAAAATAATTATTTATTTTAAAAGCTAAAATAATTGAAATTACTTCACCTTTAATGTGACGATAACAGCTGCTGGATATGACAAATCAATCACAGAAGAGGTCTTTCTGTACATCCTAAAAAAGAGAAAAATAAGAATATTTCTTAAGGAAAAATATGACTTTGGGCTTGTTTACCTTTATCATTATAGACTCCATTTATAACAAAAATGATGACTATGGCCACAGTTTATAATATGACATATGTTAATAGGATTTTGTCTACTCCCAAAGTCAGCATGCTTTTAGTTTCTAAAATAGAGTTTTATTACCTTTAACTTAACTTTAAAAAAAACACACACAAAAAAACCTTTTACTGTGAATTGAGTGAAGGTTTATAGAACAGAAACATCAGTTCTACATTCAGCAAATTACATGCTTCATTTCAATGACTGCAATCCCCTCCATGTAACATCAGTTCTCCCACTTCATTCCTTGAGGTTCCTCTTTCAGTCCCACTCTCCTTGCAATACTTCTGAACTTTTTCCTTTTGATCTTGAATGGTTGACCATTCTATAGTGAGCATCCATTACTAGTATTGTTGTCCCTCCTATATATCTATTTATCTTTTGGCTAAAAATTGAGCCATGAATGTGAGATCATTTCCAGACCTAAAAGATGACCAGAGGCCATAGTTTTGGATTCCTCCATTCGCTTTCTGACCAGTAAGCCTTATCTTTTTTGGTAATTTTGAGTTTTCTTTCTCATTTTCTCCAACTCTATCCAGGACCTTCAAATGTAGTTCTTTTCAGAGGTGCTGGTAATGGTAGCAAGGCATTATCTCATGGTTGGATAGACTGTGGTTCACGTGTTCCATGAATGCATGGGACTAATTAATTCAAAGCATCTTCAATTTTCATCCCTCTTCTTTCTTCCACACAGGTAGAAACCAATTAGTTGCACCATAGATAGACACACACAGCATTTTTAAAAAACAAAAAAACCTTTTTATTCTGAAATGAGTGAAGGTTCACAGACAAGATCACTAGTTTTACATTCAGCAAGTAATACACTTTGTTTCCTTTCAGTGATTGCAATCCCCTCCCTGCAACAACAGTTGTCCTGCTTCCTCCCTGTAGTTAACCGTGTACAAATACCCTTCTTCAAATTCTTTTATATTTGTGGGATAAATAGATAGATAGATAGATAGATAGATAGATAGATAGATAGATAGATAGATAGATAGATAGATACATATTCAACTTTTTTGTAGGTCTTTTTTGTTGTTTCGTAGTTTTATTTGTATAAGTCTTTTTTTTTTTAATTTGTATAAGTCTTTTGTTTCTCTGGTTAGATTTATTTCTAAGTTTTTAATTTATTCCTAAGTATTTCATCGTTTCAGTGGCTATTGTAAATAGCATTGTTTTTCTGATTTCTTTTTCAGAATTCTCTTTATTAGTGTAAAGAGATGCAACTGATTTTTATATGTTGATTTTTATACCCTCCCACTTTGCTGATTCTTTCAACAAGTTCCAATAATTTTCTTGACAATTCTTGGGATTTTCTATGTATAGGATCTTATTGTCAGAAAAGTAGAACTGTATTTCTTCTTTGAGTCCTGGTGTGGCGCTGTGGGTTACGGGAGCAGAATAGCTGGTAGTTTCAAACTGCTGACCTTGTGGTTCGCAGCCCGATTCATAACCACTATGCTACCAGAGCTCCTTAAATAGGAGTGGTAATAAAAGGCATTTTTGTCTGACTGGACTCCACGGCACATCACCACCACCACCACCTGTTCTCAAGGAGAATGTTTAGAGTTAATCTCCTTTTAAGGTATCATTGGTTTTTATTTATACCCTTAATTGTGTTAGGGAATTTTCGCTCTATACCTATTTTGTTGAGTGTTTTTTATCAGGAATGGATGTTAGATTTTGTCAAATGCATTTTCTGCAGAGTTTGATATGGTCATATGGTTCTTTTCCCTTGTTTTATTTATGTGGGAGATTACATCGATTGCTTTTCTAATACTGAACCATTCTTGCACACCTGATATGAACCCCGTTTGGTAATAAAGCATTATTTTTTGATGTGCTGTTAGATGATATTGGCTAGGATATTGTTGAGAATTTTTTCATCTATGGTCATGAGGGATACTGACCTATTATTATTATTTTTTTTTTTAGTGATGCATTTGCCTGGTTTGGCTATGAGAGAGAGCTATGCTCACTTCATGGAATGGATTTTGGAGTTTTCCATCCTTTTCTATGTTCTGGAACAGTTTGAATAGAATTTATGTTAGCTCTTCTCTGAATGTTAGATAAAAGTCACTAATAAAGTCACATGGGCCTGGATTTTTATACTATTCAGAGTTTTTTAATGTTCTGATCCAGTTCTTCCTTTGTTATAGGTCTCCACATTTTTAAAAAAAAAATTAATCTTTGCTAGTTTAGGAGGTGTTGTTTTTATTAAGTGCTGTCAAGTTGGTTCTACCACATTGTTGTTGTTGTTGTCAGGTGCCATTGAGTCGGAACCGACTCATAGCAACCCCATGCACAGCAGAACAAAACAATGTCCGATCCTGGGCCAACCCCACCACCGCTGCCACATTTGACACCATCAATGATGCCACCTGGCTGATCCATTTCGTTGGGGGTCTTCCTCTCTTTCTCTGACCCTCCATCTTACCCAGCATGACATCCTTCTCCAGTGACTGTTCCCTCCGGACAATATGTCCAAAGTATTAGAGAAGAAGCTTAGCCATCCTGGCCTCCAAGGAGCACTCTGGCTGCACTTCTTCCAAAATAGATCTGTTGGTTCTTTTGGCAGTCCATGGCACTTTTAGTATTCTCCTCCAACACCACAACTCAAAAGCATCAATTCTTCTACGATCTTCCTTATTCACTGTCCAGCTTTTGCATCCATATGAGGTTATTGAAAATACCATGGCTTGGGTCAGGCTCACCTTAGTCCTCAAGCTGACATCTCTGCTCTTCAACACTTTAAAAAGTTCCTGTGCAGCAGATTTGCCCAATGCAATACGTCGTCTGATCTCTTGACTGCTGCTTCCACAAGTGTTGATAGTTGATCCAAGAAGAATGAAGTCCTTGACAACTTCAATCTTTTCTCCATTGATAAGAATGTTGTTTATTGGTCCAGTGGTGAGGATTTTTGTTTTCCTGACATTGAGATGCAACCCATACTGAAGGCTGTGTTCTTTGATCTTCATCAGTAAATGTTTCAAGTCCTCTTCAGTTTCAGTAAGCAAGGTTGTATCATCTGCATATCGCAGGTTGTTAATGAGCCTTCCTCCAATCCTGACGCCAAATAGCAACCCTGTAATAGTGTTTCCAAAGAGCTGCTGGTGAGTTTGAACCACCAACCTTGTGTTTCAAACTGATCTTGCAATCCAGTGCTTTATCACACAGCACCACAATATTTGCTCATTTGTTTTGGATTGTCAGATTTGTGGGAGAACACTCTACTTTGTTGGTGTTGTCGTTAAGTGCTGTCAAGTTGGTTCTGATTCAGAGGGACCTTGTATAGGGTTTCCAAGGAGGAGCTGGTGAGTTTGAATCTCATACCTTGTGGTTCACACTGACTTTACAGTTCAGCACATTAACCCCCAGCACCACACCAGAACTCCAATTCTTCATAGTATTCTGTCATATTTTTTATATTTGTTGGCTTTCTAGTGACATCACCCATATCATTCTGATTCAGATTATTTGCATCTTTTTCTCCATTTCTTTAGCTAGATGAACCAGTGCTTTGTCAATTTTATTAATCCTTTCAAAGAAGCAACTTCTTGTTTTGTTGATTCTTTCTACTGTTTTCTATTTCATCTGTTTGTGTCCTAATCTTTATTATTTATTTTATTCTGCTTGAAGTATGCTGTCTTTGCTGCTTTGTTCCTCATTGTTGGAGATGTTGGTTTAAGGTGTTAATTTTGGTTCTGTCTTCTTTAGGAATGTGGGATTGACCTTTTCATCATGATATAATATCTTTCTTATGCTGGTTTTTGCTTTAAAATCTGTTTTATCAGAGATTAATATTGCCACTCCAGCTCATTTTTTTTGCTGCGAGCTTGATGTATTTTTCATCTTTTGATATTTTTTTATATATTTTTGTTTTATCGTGTAAGGCTTGTCTACTGTAGACAGCATACTGAAGGATCTTGTTTTCTTATCCATTCTGCTACTCTTTGTCTCTTGAATGATCCATTTCATTCACTGTAATTATTGATAAGTATGAATTGATTGCTACCATTTTAATGTATTTTTCTATGGTGAGTTCATTCTCCCACATAATTTTTTGGGCTGAGTTCCTTTTGTTTGTGTGTTTTCCTGTCATTCTCTTCATTTCTGTTGCACTCTTTTTGCTTTGTGGTTATCTTTATTATAAATTGTTATCTCTCGTCCACTATTTTCAGTCTCATAGGTTTGTTTTACTTTGGAAATGTCTATATCTGAATTGAATTCTAGGTGATGTTATCATGTATGCTATTCTCAGTTGGTTATCTGCTATTATTTCTCCATGCAAAGGACTTCCGTTAGTATTTTTGGTAAAGTTGGTCTTGTTATTACAAATACTTTTAGTTCCTGCTTCTCTGGAAATGTCCTAATTTTGCCATAGTAATTTAAGGTAGTTTAAGGACAGTTTTCTGAGTATATGATTCTTGACTGGCCATTTGTTTCTCAGAGTTTTTTATATGTCTTCCCATTGCCTTCTTACCTACATGGTCTCTGCTAAGAAATCAGAGCTTAGTCTTATTGATTCTCCTTTGTAGGAAACTTTTAATTGTTTCCTGAGCTGTTCTCAGGATTCTTTCTTATCTTTGGTTTTGAAGATTTTGACTATGATAGGTCTTAGTGATTTACTTTTGGGGTCTATCCCATTTTGTGTTTGTTCAGTTTCTTAAATGCTTATCTTCTTGTCTTCCATGATATTAGAGAAGCTTTCTTCCAACAAGTCTTGGACAATATTTTTGTGCTTTTCTTTGTCTCTTCCTATTCTGCAATTCTGATCACCAATAAGTTACCTTTCTTCATGATATCATACATAAATCTCAAACTTTCTTCAGATTTTATCCTTTTTTTCCCTAATTGTTCTTCTAGTATATTGGTACTGAAGGAACTATC